TCATTTCTTACATTTGTTTTTGAATACTTTAACTAGCACCGATTTTTTCTCACTTGGGTTTTTTTGAGAAAATTTCCGTTATAAATTAAGAATAAAAAACGTTTGTTAAAAAATATTTTACAAGAAAAGTGATATTTATTGATCCCAAAAAGTGTATTTTTGCTTAAATAGTTAACGGTAGCAACTGAACAAGGGAACCCTGAGGAAGACATTTACAATTTTTATCAAAAGAAATCAGACGCTATCAGTTCTAATTTCATCTCTGCCAGCAAATTGTTCGTTCAATTGATACTATTTTCCACCTAAATTCTCCAGTTCTGACTAAATTTTCTTGCAAAAGGTGTTCAATAGCGAAATTATGTATTAAGCAAAAATCAAGAGTAACCTTAAAACCTAAAACATTTCCAGGGAAAATCATGAAAAATTAACTATTTTTCAGGAAACGTGACAGTTATTGATCCCAAAAATTGTATTTTTGCTTAAATAGTTTACTGTAGCAACTAAACAAGGGAACCTTGAGGAAGACATTTACAATTTTTATCGTAATAACCAGACGATATCAGTTCTAATTTCATGTCTGCCAGCAAATTGTTCGTTCAATTGATACTATATTCCTCCTAAATTCTCCAGTTCTGACTTAATTTTCTTGCAAAAGGTGTTCAATGGCAAAAATATGTATTAAGCAGAATGCAAAAATAACCTTAAAAAACATAGAACGTTTCTTCGGAAAAACGTGAAAATCATGTTGCAGAAGCAACAGAGAGATAATCATCAGTTATGAAGACGATTTTTTTGAATTTGAACCAAGCAAAAGTATGTTTAAAATTAGATTAGAAGCAACAATACATTAACCAAAATTATGAGATTTCTGCAATTTTTTTCCAAAAATTGAAAGTTTTGCAATTTTTTTCAAATACTTGAAGTTTTTGCAATTTTTTCCAATTACTTGAAATTTTTGTAATTTTTTCCAAATACTTGAAATTTTTGTTATTTTTTCTCAAAAATTTGACTTTTTTCGAAAATTCAGTAGGTTTCAGCTTTGCTTCAACTAGATAGAAAGTAGATTATCCAATAAATTAAGGGAGAATTATAGCTAATCTTATCGTGTTTTGAAGTTTTTTGAAAAAATTTTCAATTTTTTTGATAAAAATTCCATGTTTTTGCACAAAAACTTTTACCATTGACTTACCATGCACAAAAAAACTAAATATCTAATCTTATTTCTACAACTTAGACGTAATTAACAGTTAATTGTTCCCAATTAGTTAACACATGCCAAAAAAATAAACATTCCACACAAAAACCAAAAAAAATTACAATTTTCCTACCATTATCTTACCATCACACAAACCATAAAACCTTACCATCGGTATTCCCTATCTTAATACATTGTAGACTCTATACCCAATCTTAATACATAGCATGGCGGACCGGAGATCTATAACGTATCTTAATACATGGGGTCCGCCATGCACCCGCCCCCCACTTCAGCTCCAACATCTACTACTCGCGATATATTTCGACCGTGCTCGAGGCATGTTTCGAACGTGCTCCAGGTGTGTTTCGACCGTGCTCGAGGTATGCTTCGACCGTTGTCCAGGTATGTTTCGACCGTTCTCGAGGTATGTTTCGACCGTGCTCCCGATATATTTCGACCGTGCTTGAGGCATGCTTCGACCGTGATCGAGGTATGCTTCGACTGTGCTCGAGGTATGTTTCGACCGTGCTCGAGGTATGTTTCGACCGTGCTCGCGATATATTTCGACCGTGCTCGAGGCATGTTTCGACCGTGCTCGAGGCAAGTTTCGACCGTGCTCGAGGTGTGTTTCGAATGTGCTCGAGGTGTGTTTCGACCATGCTCGAGGCTCGAGGTATTCTTCGACCGTGCTCGCGATATACTTCGACCGTGCTCGAGGCATGTTTCGATCATGCTCGAGGTGTGTTTCGACCGTGTTCAAGGCTTGTTTTGACCGTGCTCGAGGTTTGTTTCGACCGTGCTAGAGGTATTCTTCGACCGCGCTCGAGGTATGTTTTGACCGTTCTCGAGGTATGTGTCGACCGTGCTCGAGGTATGTTTTGACCGTGCTCGAGATACGTTTTGAATTTTTGCTCGACCTTTTGCTTGAAAGTCAAACATAAAGTGAGCAATTCGACCCAATGAAATCTCGACATAGAGTGAGCACCTCGTTTCGAGGTGAAATACCGGAATGCAGTTTTTTCTCAGCAAATTATTTTCAAATGCATCAAAAAGCAGTAAATTCTGAAAACTGGAGTATTGAAACAATATTATCATTGCAAAACAAAAAACTGTGAAAATAGACAGTTCTATAGACAATAAAAAGAGTCAGTGAAAACGGAATCAACTAAAGAACTAGTGCAGCTTTATCGCTTCAGAAACTATCACGGACACAGATTTAAGTAAAATCCCCAAGTTTTTTCTTGACATTTAGGTAAGCTTTGGAAACCAGAAATTTTTGTGAAAAAAGCACGTTCTTTGCAAGTTTGGCGAAGCAAGAGACGCGTCATAAAAATCATCCAAAGAGACAAAGAAGCGCTGAAACTACAGAGTATGCAGTAAGAAAAAATTGCTACCAAAACGGCTATTTCAATGTTTAACAAGTTTAGTTAAAATCATCTGATTTTTTTAGAAAGAAATTTGCTGTGGATTGCTCCTACAAGTGAAAATTCATATAGAAATTTTTTAGAGACTTTCCTAATTTTCACACCTACACGCGTAGCTTCCCGTGTTGACCTCCAAACAAAGAAAAAGCTTATCATCCATTTTCACAGATGGAACTAATGGAAAAACATAAATACAAGTATATACTTCAAAAATTGATTAACTTGCAGTTTTTTTCTAAATAGCGTTTTCATTTACTTTAACAAAAAATTGATAAATTAAACTGGAGTATGTTGTAAATGTAATGTTTTTAATTTGAGTAATTTAAAAGTAATGGTATGAAAACTGATTTTGAAGACAAAAAAGTTCACAAAAAATGTTGACATATTTTTCAGTTAGGAAAAACTAGTCATGCAATTTTATACTATAATAATTGGGTGACTAGCATTATTCAAAAAAGAATCCACTGGGCAACTGGGCATCTAAACTTGAAATATTTTTGTAGTCGCACAAAAACTTCAAGGTACGAAAAAACATACTCGAATTTAATTACATCAGAAGATCTTCACCAAACTCATTGAGTAGCTATGTTCGGGTATCGTTTTTCAAAAGTTGCATATTATCAACAATCTTCAGTTTAGTTTGCGGCTGAAAACTAATGTAAGCGAATAAAAAATTTCAACGAAGATGCATAAAATGGTGTTACAGAAAACATGAACTGAATGATGAGGATTATGTTTTTTACTTAAATAAAATCAAACTATTGCCAATTTCACAGACGTTATCTGAAAACAATTGATATTCCTGAATAACGTTCTCAATAACGTGTTGCCATTAAATTTTTGGGATACTCGACATTGGCCCTGATTCAAATCGAACGGGAAACAAGACGTTTTTGAGAATGCCAAGGATAACACGGAGCAGACTTAGTGAACATTTCTTTTACCGTGTCGCAGAAATGTCAAACACGCTCGCGAGATCAAACAACTTGCCTGGATCCGATCCCTTTTTAGGCACCTGTAACCTTTAGAAAGAGTCTGAACCTGTTATTGGCTGACAAACTACAAACATTTAAACACTCGATTTATCCAGAGTCATGGTTTTTAAGTTTATTTTACTAACATTGTTATCAAATTTTATGAGCAACTAATCCTCGCCTTGCCGGTTTAATTCACTCTTATTATTACTACTAGTATGATTATTGTGATTATGACGATTATTATTATTATGATGATTAATATTATGATTATTATGATTATGATTATTATGATTATTATGATTAATATAATTATGATTATTATTATGATTATTATTATCATTATTATGATTATTACTATTATAAACTATTAGAGGCAGCCAAAAAATTTAGAGCTTTGCCCTGATAGAATCAGTTTTTTAGAGGTAATACCGTGTTAAAAGGGGGAAACTTAAAAACATTTTATGGTTTTTTTCGAAAAGTAAGTAGCGCACATTGTTTTTTTTTGGTATCAATCTGATGAGGTAAGAATTGCAGTGGAATTAGATGAAGATTACAAACGAAGGACTCTGATTATCTCAAGTTCGATATAGTTGAACTTATTACTTTTTGAAATCTGGTTTTTTTATTTATTTCTCCGATAACTGAAAATGGAGACTGCGGTGGACCTTTGTCTTTGGGTTTGCTACTTAAATTTTTTCCACTCAAAATCAAGTTTCATAATCAGCTGAGAAAAAAGTTCGACTTTTTTTGCTGTGTAATCATATTCAGTCCTGAAGCAAGTGGCGTTTGTTAGATGAAGAGCAATAAATTGAGCCGTGAAAGCCTTAGCTTTACTCCGGAAAAATATTTTTGCGAAGTCTAATTCAGCACTTTTTTGTCAATAGAAACAAATTTGAAGATTTAAAAAAAAAGCTAATTTTATTTTGGAATTTACTTTTAGAAGACAAATAAAGTCGACTATGAATAATTGAGCTAAAATTTAAGCTTCCAAGATTCCAAACATCACGCCACGCAAAACAAAGGCACAAGTTTCATTAAGTTTTTCATGTATGAGGTCGGAACTTTCTCCGCTACTTGCCGGGAAACCAGCTAATCTGACAAGCTTATCATCCAAAAGGGTACCCCTTCTTTAGTATTGTACGACATCCAATTCTGAGCTACCAATCCTAAAAAAATTCTTTGGCGTCAATGTACAATAAGTTTGAGCGATGGTTTGCAGCTATATATTCAGGCCCTTAAAAATAAATTTTGGTATTTTTGTTTTGCAAGGCTCGCATGCGGCGCTGAAGCGCTGATCACATTCACATAAGGGGTCTTTATTATGCCTTATGGAGGAGCTTGGAAATTTTTTTGATTCTAAAAATTCTTCACAGTAAAAAAAATAATTTTTTTTTGATTATCTATAAATTCAAGCACAACCAAAATTATTTGAGTTTAACCGTTCAATTACTTGTAGTATTGGTTGTTGTAGTTGTTGGCGTTTGGTGCGTAGTAGTCGTTGTTCCCTGCTCCCCCTCCCCCTCCTCCGCCTCTGTTTCGATCAAGAGTACCCGATTTGCTTCCACTTGCCGAAGACAAGGGTCGATTGTTTGTTGAAGTCATCATCATGGCATTGCCGCCTACGCGCAAAGTAATTAAAAGCTGCTATATTCATGATGGGGACAGTTTTTTGCAATTAGTTCATAACTTTTTTTGTTTTGAACTGATTTGTTTTGGTATATTTTTTAGCTGGTTGTAAGAACCTGTACGAACTTAAAACTTTTTATCATCATATCTTGTGTTTGCGCTACTTGCTCAACAACCAGCTAATCGTGTTACACCTGGCTTCTTTTCAAAAATTTTTGCATTTATTTCTTGCTCATTGATTGCAATATTTTGATTGGCTGTGAACAATAAATCAAATTAATCAGTGTTTGTTTTACATCGAATATTGTTTACTGGTTGGCTGGTTATTGTTTCTAATTGAGTTCATGACTGTTTTGGCGGTGCGAATTGATCATATTTTAATTTGAAACAGCGTAGAGAAGCCCTCTGTAAAACATAGAAATAAAAAAAGGCGGTCAGTTGGCCACATTACCATCCAAAGAGTTCCACTTCGAATCATAGCTTTTTATAAAAATTTAGGGCGTAGCCGCTTGTACAGAAAAGATTCATTGAACCTGTAAATTTGATTGAACTCAACATATTAATTTTTTTTTTTTTGGGGGGGGGGGGGTTATTTCCCGAGAAATGTCAAGCGTTTTAAACAAAAACAGTCAAAAATTAAAAATTTGACTATTCCGAGGGCCAAAACCTTAAATGTGCAAAACATTTGAGCAGAGCCGCTAACGCAGGACAATTTTTGGATCTTTTTTATTCATTGAAAGCAAAAATTTGGATTTTGGAGGAGTATTTTTCGAGGAAACAAACTAAAAGTTAGTGAAACAACTCCAAAACGAACAACAAAAATGAAGTTATAGCAAACCGAGTGGCAAGGACACAACCAACTTAAAAATGCGGAACCGAGCATTAAAATGGTGTTTTCCTTGAAACAACTCAAAATGAGGTCACTAAGCCGACTTTTACAAATTTTAGGAGTACATCAAACCCTAAAAGCAACATTAAAATAAAAGCGCGCAGCAACAAAAACGAGTTCAAGAAAAAACAACTAAGCCAATAGCAGATAAATAGACAAATAATTGGCCGACATTTCATTTGAAACAGAATCTTTCCCGTTTGAAAAAAAAAACATCCTGGTCACATTCGAACCTGTACTTTTGCCGTCCCAGGCATATTCGTTATCTCCAGGCTAAGTTGGTCGGGAACGCATAGAAGTTTGTATTAATTTTGAACCAAGATACAAGCGATTCAAGTGATTCTGTTTAAGAAATTGTTAGTCCGAAAAAAGTCTATATTCCAGTTTGATAAAGCTTGCTAATCGCAAGCGCAATAAGTGTTGACAAAACGGATATTTAAGATCGATATTTAAGACTATTGATTTATTTGTAGTGTTATTTTTTGTAGTTACTGGTGGGTGGAAGGTAGTAGTCGTTATTCCCACCTCCACCTCCACCTCCTCCCCCGCCTCTGTTTCTATCCAGGGTACCCGATCTGCTTCCAATTGTCGCAGACAACGGCGGCCGATTGTTTCCTGAACTCATCATCATCGCATTGCCGCCTACATGCAACATGATAAACAGTTGCTACACTTATGGTTGATTATAATTTTTTTCATGTCAGTTTGCTCAAAATTTACTTTTGGGCTAATTTTCTGCTAACTGGTATAATTTGCTTGCAATTTACAAGAATCTAATAACTGAAATCTTTATTTTCTTTTCTTTTATATTTATCCATAAATTGACATTACTTTATGAAGATTTTTGTCAAAAAATCCTTTTGAAAGATTTCCAATTACTTTTTACATAACTGGCTGGTTTCTCAACTTACCCGGTTAACCAAATGATCGGGCCAAAACATCAATAACCACATCAGCAACAAGAACAGCAATAACAACACAACTGACCTGGATAGTTCCTGACATGCCCCCCTGCTCGTTGCATTTGGGCTTTGGTGATTTTGGGTGAGGTGCAGATTTTGACAGCTGAGATTAAGCTGGAGAGAATTAGCATTGAAAGAGCGATGAACAGCATGTAAAAAGATGGCCCGTACACGTCGAAGGAGAAGTTTTCAAGCATGTAGCTCACTGTTAATCCTGATCCGATTGACACCGTCAGAACTAGGAAAAAATTTTAAATATTTTTATTGATCTAAACAAAAACAAAAAACATCTTCAGTTTTGAAAAAAAACTATAATCAAGTACAAGAAAACCGGTGCCGAAGGCTCCCTTTAAACAAAGTGAAAGATATCCAAAGGGGATCGGACCATTGGTATTCAGTAGGGTCCATTTCTTGGGAAAAACCAACCCCCTCTCCCCCTTAAATCCGCTCCTGCAATGATACCAGGAAAAAGTCCAATTAGAAATTAAAAATATAGAAATTAAAAAACAGTTTTTTTCAAGTAGCTAAAATTTTAAAGCTGGCAAAAACGTTTAAACACTTTTATTGACCAAATTTATTGACCGTTTTGTTTTTGTTCTAAAATCAGATTGAAGTATTTGTTTTTTATTCTTGAGCAGTCTTTTCTATTATTGGTTATAACCTACAACCGATAGATAAATTATAAAACACTATAACTATAGATTAACTAACGAGCACTGATTGAGACCCAAAATTCAATCACATCCCAGGCTCGACTTCTGAGGGATACTGGGCCGAGAGCCAGTTGTGTGGAGAGGAGGACTATCTGGACTAGGGGTATGAAACACCCAATGACGAGGAACACAACGCCAATAGTCAGTTGAGGATCTGGAATGAGTTTTGTCCTGATATTTTGAAACGTTTAAGCTAGCAGAAAAAATGATTTATCGGGAAAAAAAATTGGACAACTTAAATCCGAAATAAATTGGCTGTTTGTAAGGAACTCTTGAAGGACCGCGCATAATAGGACTACTGTAGTTCGAAGTTTTATTGCAATTTTGATCAATAAAAATGTCTCCAAAGTGGGGAAAAAATGTCTTCAGAGTGGGAAAAAGTCTCCAGAGTTGGAAAATAGCGCAACAAAGAAACTTTTTGTCATTTAAGACAAGGCTTGTTTATCCTCTACAGAGTAAACCACAATACGAGCTGTTCAGCTCTATAGGGAGAACCACACTGTGATTTACCTTCTTAAGAATTTCGAGCATTATAATTTTTTCCTGGGCTGAAAAATTTTGCCTCAACCTTGAGCTACAAGCTAACGAGTAAACGTCGCATTTAAAAAAGAACGACGTACCTCTAGGGGCGAGTGGAATATTCCTGCCGACATTGTATGTTGACCCCCCTCGCGACCAGTCGGGGTCAAAGTGCAGTCGCCACAGGTCAGCACTTCTTACTTCCCGCATTTCACTCCATAGATCACTAAAGCTAAAACCATAAAAAAGCTAATGGTAGTGTGAAAAAGTGGAACTTTATACAAAATTGGTTTCTCAATTTGAAGCATAATTGTTTCGACCTGTTGAAAAACGTGGAGGAACTTTGTATTCGGGTGTGTTTTACTTTTTTTCTTATCTTTTTTCGTTTTGCAATCCACGCAAAAACAGGCACTACAACTGGTATATCATTTTACAGCTATTTCAGTCGTGACTTGAACTAAATCTGAAAACACAGAAAAAAATCTCAGTGTTAAAAAAACTGGTTTTCAGCAAACTTAAATACTACAAAACTTCAACTTGCTCTTAAAACGTTCATGGTAACTTTGAACTCCCGGTATGCTGATGACATTTAAATTGCTTCACCCAGAGACAGACAAAAGCATACAAATTGAATTAAATCACATGATCAAAGCAATCAGCAGGCAAAGCAATGTCTTCGGCATGTATTCTTGCCGTGACGATAGTCTGAACATTTAAGTACTGAGTACTGAAAATCTGGCCACACAGCATTAATAAAATAACAAATTGCAGTTTGTTCAAATCACTCTGAAAATTGGTTTCAAAGTTACGAATCTAACAAACTGTCAGATAAACGCACATGTTTAGTTTTCAAATTGGTTACCTAGAAAAAAAACGGGCAGAAAACCACCGAAAAATCAAACAAAAGCAAGTTTTCACATCTGGAGAAACTAAATGTCCCTCTAAGTAGGACAAAATCTAACGCACTAAAGTTTGAAAAGGTTCAGAATAATTAATCTCATCTTCGAAGCAGCAACTGCGACCAAGTTAGAAACTGTCAATTAACCTGCTAAAAATCCAGATCATTGATTGAATCAGAGTCGAAGCAGATACATCACGAAATGACCTCATAAGCCGTCCGACGAAAATTTGGACAAAACAAGTTTGAAAAAAAGAGCCTCGATGAAATTTAAAGCTTGTTTTTTTTTTGTTTTGAATAAAAGTAATACTGAGACAAAAAAATAACTGTGCTGATTAGGCTATGAGAAAAATGCTAAGCGCAATTATTTAACCTATATTACTCGGACAGAGGACCCTAGTGACAAAATTGTCATACAAATTTAGAGGTAGCGAAAATAGGCTGGTTATTTTGTATTTTCAAACGACAAAACATGAAGCGATTAAGCTGAATTTTTTTGAACCGACAAAACCGTTCGGGCGAAACCGAAAACAAACACAAAATACTAAGAAGGGGTGGGTTCAACCAATCAAAACCATGCTTTAAAAGATCGGCCTTCAACATACAAATATCGGATGTTACCTCTATGCCAGCTGTGCATCTACAAGTCAACAGCTCGAAAACTGCATCAAATTTTCTAAAATTGAACTCAATAATAAAGCAACCTAAAAAACGTAACCTTCTTACTTGCGAATACTCACGTGAACAAAGTTTTTCTTTACAAAAAAAACAGAATTTAAAGAAAAACTGAAAAATGATCATAAGTAAGAAATTTCGCAATTATTAGATAAAAAATATCCAAAATAACCACCACTGGTCCGCCCTTTGTACTGTTTTGAGATGTCTACTTTTTGCTGATCGAGTTTTAAAAATTTTCAAAAGGCGCCATCGGCGCCAATATATACTAAATTTGAGGGGGGAGGTGCGAGCCGAAAAAAAAAATTTTGGTCAAAATTTTCCAAAAAAGTGCCTAAAAACGCTTTTTGGCCTGTTTTTTTTTTTTTTGAAAATACTTGATGCCCACCCTAATTTTTGCATGAATTCGAAAAAATACTTGTTCATTATCCACTTTTCAAATATGGCAGGCAAACATTTTGAAAGTTTTGTCGACAAATTTTTTGTACAGAATTTATCAATTGTGTTGTCACACCCACGAGAAACTCCAGATAATTTCCTGGTTAACACATACTTCGATTCGTTAAAAATAATTATGTACCCATATTGCTGTCGGTTAATGAAGGGACTCTCATCTGCTCTGATTTCTTTCACCCAATCAGATTTGGAGAACACACACACCCACATCAGGACACAACTGAGTATGTTAAGAACGACAATAGCTCCGGATGTTACTCTTCTCAAACTTCCCATTTTAAAAATGTTTGAAATCGAATTTGCAAAATTTCGTCAATAGAAAACGCAAAAAATCAGTAACAAAGTTCAATAAAGTTGGTAGCCAAAATGTTATAATCAATCAGTATATTACTCAGTTTCAAAGTCCGTGAAAATCGTTTCAAAATAAAGACTGGTAAATAAATGGGCTACGCCTAAATACCAAGTTTGTTTTGCGTATAATTGAAGTAGCAAAAACTAAACAAGTATTATGACTAAAGATTTATTTCCGTAGCAAATAAGTTTTGTTTCTTTTAAAGACGTGGTGTTTCAACAAAACACTAGCTACAGAATGAACCATTGATCAAATGTACCTTTATAAGGCAACAGTTAACATCATGCAACTACCTTCTATTTGGTATAAGAAAAAAATGAAAAACTAGATTATAATCAGCTTATAAAGATTGCTGGATACCAAAAATTCTAAAATTACATTCAAAAGAACGGTTTCTGTATTGCGTTTGGAAATCAACGAATAAATTTATGTCCCGGCTAATTTTCTTCGGGTATGCTACAAATTTTCTACTTTTTTGTACGCAAAATCAGGCACCACAAAAAATCATCAGACTATATTGATTGATATATTATATCAACGCGCTTTCAAACGTGATTAAAACTATTTTTAAGAACGGTGTCGACAAAAACATTTTGAACGATTTGATGTTCAGTCCAATTTTGAACAAAGAAATCGATCAAGCAGATTAAAATAGAACAACGAGCCTCCTTGCTCGCTTCATTCAAACCGCGAAATTTAATTTCAACCCTGTAAAATTAATTTTTCAAATTTTTGACGAATTACGAGGAAAAAAATTTTAAAATTGAAAATGATAAAAAAACAAAGACGAAAAGTTTGTGTTTTTTTGAATATTTTTATGTTACTTTTATTTGGTTTTTTGGCAAACTAAAAAGAATGAATTTTTTAAAATGAAATCGAAAACCTTATTTTCCTATTATTTTTATATCAATTTTAACAAAGTTGTTGGTGAATGTGCACATAATGCCCAATTGTTGAACACGTTCAAAATTTAAGCTTTCGTTGAGAACCTCTCATCACACTACAAATAGAAGACATTAACAAAAAGATGCTTTATTACAGGATTTTTCACAGGCAAAGTTTCGCTTCGCAAACACTTGTGAGAACACGACAAGAAGCAGCTCTATAAAGTAAAAAATAAATAAAAATTAGAAATAAGCCGCGAATTAGTAAAAGTTAGTCTACCCCTAAGATTAGAACCTGCGACCTAGAGATTGGTAGTTTCACACACTAACCACTCAGCCACGGAAGCTTAAAAAGCACCAAAACTAGCCACAAACAAAGCAGAGAACATATGCTATGCAGTTTCCAGTGCTAAAGTTAAATTTCCAATTAAGTGAACACTTTCATTGAACACTTTTACTTTCGATTTAGGTTAAAAAAAGACGGTGCGGATTAAGAAATTAGGCTGATTGCAAGTGCAATAGAGAGTAGCCTAAGCATTTGCAGATGACTGCATAGTTTTGTTTTGCACAAAAAGGCAGGCAACAAAATGTGCTACTGTTGAAGCAGTAATCTTGAACTCATATCGTTATGTAAAAATAATAGAATCAAATTATATCATACTGTTGACCAAAGTCACAGAGGCATTTTCTTGAATATAAAATATTCTAAATGTCAGTTTGCTGGCGCATAGCTCTGACTCAGCCACAGGAAAATAAATTGAAATACAACTGAAAAACACTTCAAATTGTCGTTTTAACAATGTAATTTTACATCCTAAAGAGTGAGTTCCTAGAGGTTTTACATGGCACAGCCAGCAGTTTTTCTAATACTGGACGGACATTGGAAAACCAGTATTTTGATCATAAGCATATTCAGACCCACTGTGACTATTCAAAAACTACCTAAAACGTTTTTTATGGCTGTGAAGGTGAAACAGAACGTAAATCCGGAACTGTTATTGGAAGATCCAGTTGAAACAACCACCACCAAGAAGCAAATCTCAGAAAACGGAGCAGAGTGCAGCGGCAATAGCAGCTCGGAAGCTAAGAGTTAAACTTGCAATATACAGTACGAAACGAAGAACGAAAAGAAAGAGGACCGAAAATCGACTATAGTTTCTACTAATTTGAACTCCAAAACGAGTAGTCTCGTCTCACCAAAAGTACCAGTTCTGGTTTCATGCAGAAAATTCCACGAGTGGAGTTTTAAGTTGGAATCTGAAGTAAAAGTTGACATGGCTAGAGATGATTTCAAATAATGAAAAAAAAAGAAATATAAACGTTTTTGCACTGTAACAGGACGCAAGAAAGAAATGAATAATTGGAAACACTCCCTGCAGCACTTACTGCACAATCAGTTAGATCAAAATTTGGAACGTCACAAGACAAACTAGTCAGGGATCATTTTTTTATATCATAAATGAGTAATGTCACCTTACAGGACACGATAACTTCAAAATGCTAGCACCATAGGAAGTGATCAAGAGAGCAATCAACACAGCAAACAAACAACACATGCTTTCCAAAAGACGAACGTAATTACTGCAGGAGCAGCAACATCATCCAGTCAAACATTGAAGACAAATCAAAAATCTATCATGAACATCAGAAACTCGAATCAGAACATTCGACAATCGCTCAAAAAATACAATTAAAAGATCAAACAACTTGAAGAACTCCAAACACGGTTCAGCAAAAAAGCCGTACAATTGGTGTGGAGAAACTTTCAAGTACGCCTCATTGACGAAGAAAAGAAAGTCGTGGAAAAACTGCTTTAAACAGAACCAGTTTGCGAAATTATGCGATTACAACAAGTAGGGGTGGGTGATAAATGAGGAGTTGGAAAAATAAGAGAAAGAATGGTATCGAGTGGAGGTTTTCGATACTTCATTACGAGGCCAAACTGTGCTTCTCGAGAAATGTAAGCAAACTCCGCAAGAACGACGCTCCCTTTATTCTTATTTTGTTCTTTCATTTTGTTTTATCGTTCCGACATAATTTTAACAGGTTTATCGACTTGTCTCAGGAATCCAGGAACATACAGACACAAAATTGTGCGCCTATCCAGTGCACAGTTTGGCCTCGAAATATTGTGATCATATTTGAAATCTTGTCGATTAAAGTGAGAACTAAGACTAAATCAAAAAGAAAAAAAATTGCAATTATAAGACTGGCCGTTTAAATTAGTATTTATACACCAAATATGCCAAAGTGTAGAGTGTCTTCAATAGACTTTGAAAAGAGTTCAACAAAACGCATTGTGAAAAACTCTGATAAAACAATGATATCAAAAATCTATTCTATACGTAAACCAGGACTTTTAAAACTTCTGCACAGTTTGGCCTCGAAATGGAAACTTTTTTAATTCTGAAAAGTTTATATTGATGTAAAGTAAAAATTTTTTGTGGCACCACTGCTCAAGCTTGGCTCGAAAATTTCCATACCACGAAAACTTCGGATGTTTTTCTATACACCTACGGATGTTCCACGCCACAACGGTAATGCCTCGAATGAAACAGGTAGTGAATCGAACAACAAATCAAATCAGAGAGCATTGTCTTTTTGGATGATTAAAATTTATTTTCAAAAGAAATTATGATTTCTTATACTACAAAAAAAACAATATCTCCTAAACTCACTTTGATAACAATCAGCCAATTAGTTGTTATATCTGTTCAAGCCAGACAGGAAAACTTAAGCGAATTGAGAGAAAAGAGAAAGATTACGAAACCAACTTTTCAAAGATTTTCAAAAACTTTAAAAAAAGGTACAATACTCCAAAGTTTAAGATTTTTTTTTGCCAAAAATAAAATCAAAGAGGAAGTTGTTGGAGGACGTTGTTTCTTCGTTCATTTTCATACTTCTCACCCGGGTTGACCTCCATACACCGAAAATGCTTATCATACAATTCCATACATCAAGTGTGTGGGAAAATGCTTGTCATACAATTTTCATACAATTTCTATAAATGGTTGAAAACTGGTATAGATTCATTTCTGTGGCTGTTTGATTCTAATAAAACAATCTGGTGATAAAAAACTGAGGTTTTCGTTTTTTGAAAAAAATGCTTATCATACAATTCCCATATATGGAAATTGTATGACTGGCATTTTTTTGGTGGCGACTGAAGTAATTTTGAGAATTTAGCCCAAAATTTTTTTTTGTTTTTTTTTCAACCGCAAATCGATTTTCGTTCGCAAACAAACATTTTTCGAAAAAACAATTTTTGCATGCAAAATTTAATATTTTGTGTGCATAACGTAGTCCTGGATACGATAAAATTGGCTTTTATTTTCTTTTCACTTAATTTTTTTTTTCAAAAACGCTGAAAATTCCTCTTTCTTTTGTATGGGGTGTTAATGTACGCCTTGATCAATGTCTGATAATTTGCAAATTCAAAAATTTAATATAATCATCATTAAAAAATTTTGCCAAAAAATAAAAGTTTGTTACTTTTGTTATATCAATTGTGAAAGACAGCCCATTATCAGGGAGTTTTCTATGCATTGTAAATGCTAGACCGTCCAACCTTTGGTGTTTTGCGTAACCAATGTCTTTGTCACTTGTGTTCGGTTGCAACTACAACCTAAATTTTTTCAGATACTAAATTTAGAAAGAAAAAAATCAAAAATTTATGGTTTATGGGAAAACACCTATCATACAATTTTCATATATGGAAAAATGCTTATCATAGAGTTTTCATACAATTTTCTGTACGTATGGAATTGTATGAAATTGTATGACAAGAAGTTTCTCATATATGGAAATTGTATGATAAGAAGTTTTGGTCAACCCGGGCATTTAATTAATTTTTATTCATCATTAAGATTTGCTTGTTATGTAATCACGTATAGTGAATATTTCTAGAGAAACTTTGCAACTGTCAAAATATTACTAAGGGGGATCGGAAGGAAACAATTTTTCTCTGAGTAAGTTTAAAACGAAACAATATTGGTTCAAAAAAGCAAGCTAAAACAACTTTTTTTATTTTACAATTAGTTGGTTCAAGATATGGAGCATACCGTGGGATCCTGTTGCCGTCATTTCAAACGTACATTTCTAAATTGAAAACATCAAGCTCCGCTATACCGATTTTGTTAAGATTGATAGTTTAAAGCTGTCTAATCTGATTGTAATCCTCCCTTACGTTGAAATCGATTCCA